ATAAGAAAGAATTTTGCAGCTTGCAAAATCATGCAGTTAATTGCTCGTTGGAGGCCTACAATTCCCGAAGGCACTAAGACCTTCCAAGAACATTCAATGAGTTGGGAAAATGTCACGTGTGCAGCTAGGAAAGGAGAAACCATTAGATTCAACAATTTAAATATGATAGATCTGACAGAGTAGGTAGCTCCAATATAGGCCTTGTTAACCTTATATTTGTAGACCTTTGATAAACTACGATCGTTACTACACTAAAAAAATAACTGAACATGGAGGTGTGTCAGAAAACCTACAGAAACCGCTCTTGAAAATCTACGAATTAGCACAATAGACTTTACAAAACAGGCCAGACATTGTACAGAACAACTTGTCAGCGATGGTCTTGCTCGTATAACGTTTTGACAAACATCATATACGCAACGAGCGAAAGAGAAATATCATGTGTGAACACGAATGTAATTGAATTATTTTCATACATTTCATGGTATCTTTTCGTTTACAAATGAATCTGCCGTCAACAAAATAGCTTTTCCTTCATTTTCTTTTAAATGTTTAACGTCAAATAACAGAAAACAACATAATCAGGATAAGGAGATAGACTGTTCAAGTTAGGGAAAGTATTTCCATCTTGTTTAAATCAACTAGCAGACATAGCGCTAAAATAGATAACCAATCCCTCCCCTCAAAAAAAAAAAAAAAATAAAAGGAATTTTATAATGATGAGTATATCTCCACCACACTAGTGGCACACCAATAGGTAGAAGAAAAAAAGTAAACGCTTTTAAATTAATTTAATAATTAACTGAAAACAGAGTAATTTTTTCTTTGCTTTCCATTCCATGTAAATGCTATTTGGACGTAAATGTTTTTCATTGATATTTTCTCATAATTACGCGTGACGACACAAACTTTGCTAGTGAAAATATATTTCATTCGAAACTTTATTTCCACTGTCGATTTACCTGAGAAATGTTTCGTCTCGTGTCAATTCAAAATGGCCGCTTCGCGTCAATTCAAAATGGCCGCTTTGTATCAATTCAAAATGGCTGCATTGGTTTTACTTGCAAATGTCATTTTATTTATTTTAGTTTGCTTTAACATTTTTTTCTGTCAATTTTTTTTATATATTTCACAGAAGGCGAAATTAGAGAAAATTGAACTTAAAATATTGTTGCCAATCTCCCTGAAGGAGAGGCTCGAACGGCTATGAAAATTAGTAATCGAAATAATAATAATAATAATAATAATAATAATAATAATAATAATAATAATTCTTATTATATTAGTTCAGAACAATTTTAAATAGACATCTTTTGGTTGTATTAGTGGCTTCGTTTATTTTATTTTATTTTCTAGCGTCGTTCCCTTCCGTTTATGCACACATCTTAATATCATTTTATAGTTATGCGCCTACACTTTCGGTTGTCGTTTGAATGTTTGATTATTTTTCCTAAGCAAAGATTAATGGATGCAATTTCCGCCTCGGTGTTATGTTGTTAAAGGCACTCGCAATAACAGCAACACTTGGGGTTGGAGTCAGCTTCCGGAGAGAGTGTGCATCGTCGGTTCCACCATTTTGCTTCTGGTAATCTCAACCCCCAAAATGAACATAGTCGTCACGCAAAAATGAAGAATCAAGAGCAGAAACGCCCAGGCGTTGTGAGCAAAGATGGCTTGTAGCAAATACAAGTGTCGGAAGACTGAAATCGACGAAGGGGAGAAAATGCAAAATTGGTGTACCGTAATATAAGTAGTAATGATCTGCTTCATATAAGTAATAACGGTCTGCTGCAATTTTCTTGTTCGTTTAAAAAAAATCAGTACACTCTTTTATCTTGTGCTTCTCTTAAAATGATATGTCAATTCAGGATGTAGGTGGTCATGACTCTTTGCGGATTCTTTTTCTTTAATATTATGTTTATTTCATAATGGTGTTATCTTAGTAAAAGGCTCAAGAGCCACACAAGTTAGGGGGTTACAGAATAAGAGGTACAGTTTATGCGGATATGTGAGGAAGATAACGGTTAACCCCAGACTTGAACAGGTTATGAGTGTGGTGACTGGGAAAGCATCCACTTGGGAGTCGATTCCACAAAGCTATGAATTGCCATACATTTTTTATAAAGATAGTGGAGTGGTTTCCTTCCCCACGGTTTTGAAATTCATAGTTTTAATTCTGTTAAACTAAGAGAAAAAAAAGCCAAGTAACACCATCGAACAGAATTTGAACTCGACTCGCCGAGGGCATTTTCCGCGTCGATGATCTCTACTCTACGCGCACATTCTCTTTGAAGGTTAAGGAAAAATGTTTTTTGCGTCATAACCAGATATGTTTTTTTTTTTTGTTTTGTTTTTGTGACGGTGTGCGTAGACAAAGTTTTGTAATGTCCGTCCGTAGGAGAGACTTTGTAAATCACAGATACAACAATAGTAACGCCTTCGAAAAAGAGTCGGTCAGACGCCACCAATTCCCATATATATATTCTTCCTTTACCCGTCAAGTGATCTAATTATTTCAAGATGAGGTCGACTGTGCTTGCTCACTGGCGATCCGTGTTCAAACCCAAGTGTCGTCAGCGAGACTTTATTTCTGTATGAAACAAACTTTATGGTCTCTGAAATTTACCGAAA